ATTAGAATGAAAATACTAATGGACCCTTGTAATGAGGAATGTGACTACAAAATCAATGACTTCTATACGAATTCAATATATCTTGATCAAGTTTGACAATTGTGTTTTGGCCATTCAACATCTGTTTGAACTTATTTTATTTTACTTTATTAAAAAAATGTGTTTTGTAATAGTATTTTTTCTAAATATGTGGTTAAAAAATAAATAACAATTATAAATTTACATATAAAATTATTTTATTGAAATATTGTATGATTGGAAATGATTTTTTAGATAATGAGACTCAAACATGAGCATAATATGTTACAAGGGCCGATATCTAAGCCAAATCCAATAATAAAAAGATTTTTTTTATTATGATATAAAAAAGGAAAAAAATTATATCCGAGAGATTATGTATGATCCATTTCAAAACTATGAAATAAGATTCAAAACTTCCAAAGTCGGTTATTAATTAAATATATTAAACTCACAATTCTATACTATTTGATCATAAATTATTTCACGGTCACAAATAAAAAACTTTATAGGTTACAATTTATTCATCAACCATAAATAAAAAAATTATAAGTCACAATTTATTTATTGGTCATAAATAACAATTTTTATAAGTTACGACTAAAATTTTTAAGTCGCATACTATTTATTGTCCACAAAATATCCAATTTATTGGTCACATATTATTTATTGATCACAAGTTAACCAATTTATTAGTCATAATCAATCAAATAATTGGTCACAGACATCATCACCCTATGCCACCCACAATCACGATCACCACCAACATCATCACCACCTCACACGCACCACTAACATCACTACCACCTCACCATCGTAGCTACATCACAACCACCACCAAAAAATCAGATCCAAAATTATCAATAATTGCCACAATCTTCACCAGCACCGTCATTGCCAGCACACCACCTACTACAAACACCGCCACCATTTGCAAACTACCACCAACTACCCCAAAAAACTCTAGCACCCAAAATCCAGATTTTTCTCACATTTTCCACATCAGCAACGGCGCTCACACTGCACACATCGCTGCCCAAAACCATCACCACCGCAACCTTACTAGCACCGCCACTACCAACAAAACCCACCCCAAAATCACTCAACAACCACCACAAAATCAAATCCAAAATAACTGCACAACTACCACAACCAGATCCAAAATCACTGCACAACCATCGATAGCAAAACCAAATCAGGTCAATGATGATCGCTGCGCTCAGACAACTGCATCATCGCTACAGCAGCGACATCAAGCGACATCATCACTCAGCGCACAACGACGGCATCAACTGCATTATCGCAGAAGCTGTCGGTGGATAATGGAGGGAGAAAGAGGATGGAGTGAATTTCGGCGAGGTGAGGTGAGGTGAGAGTGGGTATATTAATTTAATTTTATAATATTATTATCAATAACTAATTATCATCTGATTTTTTTTATAAACAAACTTTAAATTAGATTTTTGAAATGATAACTTTTCTGGTTCTGTGTAATTTCTACTATGAAAAAGGGGTGCGACCTAAAAATTCTATTTCAATTTGAAAATAGGTCACAATGTCCTAGTCCAGAATTTATATTGACCAAAGCTAAGTTCTCAACAAAACCATTGTTTGATCATTTTTTTTTCAAAATACATTTTTCTCTCTCTTCTTTTCAACTACACAATTTTCAATAAAATAATATTATACGCAATCCAAAAACTTTTCCTTCATTTTTAATCACATGTTTCCATCAATACTATTTCAAAATGTATTCTACACCGAAGATGTGGTTCAAACATGATTTATTATCCTCAAAAGCCCAAAAAAATAATGACTTCATCAACGAAAGAATAAGAATATTTTAAAGAGGGACCGAAAAACTTCACCAATATTGTCGGGAAGAATAACTTCAATTATTCTATCACCAAAACCTTGTCAATTTTACAGAGAAATCATCTTTCTTGATCTCATAGATATTCTTAACCTCTTCTAGAAATTTCAAATAAAATAATAATGAAATAGAAAAATATCGAAACCTTAGACATTTTTATGTTTCCAAAATGTGATCAATGAATGAGATTGACCCACTTTGTAAAGTGAGAACGAAACAACATCACACTGAAAAATAAATTGTTTGAGCTACATTATTTTGGAATAGTAGATTGATGAAAAATGTATGGTTGAAAAAGAAAGAACAGTTATTGATATAATGAAAAATATTATTTTAATGAAAAATGTGTGGTTGAAAATGAGAATGAAAATTTTAATATAACTCAAAAGGGGGCTTAGATTCAATGGTAAATGAATTTTATACTACAAATCTTTTCGATTACATTTTGAATAGATAATCTCATATTTATGTATTAAATTATCGATCACGTGACATTAACTAAATCTAGTATCTACTTCTAGTTCCATAGCTCATGAGTAAATTTACTGTGCAACTATGATAAAATGTTTAAAGATTAAAATTAAATGTTGTATATGAGATTAAAACCAACACTTAATATAATGACAATAACTTGGACCAATGATCCAATTTCACTTTATTAACAAACTTTTTATTTCGAACATGGCTGAGCGTAAAACATTTTTACTTCTGTTTGGTGCACATTAAGGGTGTGTTTGTACCACATTATTTTGAAAAAATGTATTTTAAAATAGTAGATTGATGGAGAATGTATGGTTGGAAAAGAAGGAAAAATTATTGATGTGATGGAAAATATTATTTTATTGAAAAATGTGTGATTGAAAATGAGTAGAAAAATTAGAATGAAAATTTTATTGTGACTCAAACATGGGCTAAAATGAGATAATGCATTTTTTTGATGGGGACTGTGGTTCAAAAAAAAAAAAATTATTGATATGATGAAAAATATTATTTTATTAAAAAATGTGTAGTTGAAAATTAGTAGAAGAATGAGAATGAAAAAAAATAATGTGGATCAAACAGGGGCTAAAAGTTTACAAAATGTGTGATTTGTTATTTTCAATTCTGGGTATTTCGATCAATTTAACTATTTTTAATGGTAAAACTGTAAATTTGTTAGCAAAAACTATTTTTTGTTATTGTACCGTAAAATATAGTATACAAATTGTAGATTTAGAAATTTTGATGTGTAAAGTATAAATACAACTTATATAAAAGTTATATTTTGTAAATTTTCCTTTATGTCCTCTATCTATGTTTCTTGACATTAGAGTTCCCAACTTAAATTTTCTAGCACTTGACTTATTCTTAATGGATGAAAATTTTCACTTTTGTCGTAATAAGCATAATTTCATAGGAAATGTGATTGTACTTTCTTTTCAATTAAATTTAAAAATAGAAAAAATTGAATTTGTCCACCGATTCTGTTATCTTTCTAATTGTCTCTTTTTCGTTTCCAAACTACTCATCATTGGGAGATGGAGGTGGAAAAGAAAAAAAAAATAGATTGGAGAGAAACCACAAAAAGGTGTGGCATAGGAGAAAAAGTCGGGAATGTCGATGAGTTGGTTATAATGGAGGGGGGAAGGATGCAGTCGGCACAATTTATTAAAAATATCGTACG